GATTCCTGGCCGGGGAGATGACCCACATGGTGCGGCAGACCTCCCTTGACCCGCCCGCTGCTCCCCCAGCAGTGTATTTCAGTACATCTGCCTGTTCTGCTCCCCATTCTGTCTCTGGTGAATCCTCTCACCCCCTGCATCTCTGGCTTGTACCCCAGTTCTTGTGTGCATAAATAAGTAAACAAACCTTTAAATAAAATAAAAAATGTATGTTTATGTTTTTAAAAAAGGTGAGGGCAAAGAAAGGCGTCTAGAGCAGAAGAAACAGTTTGGATTTAACCTGAATTCTAGAATATGATAGAAGAATTCATATCAAATAAATGGTGGACTTTCAAATAATTCAGAATTCGACTTTCACAGTAAATGACATTTTTTGCTGCATTTTTTCTTGTAAAAGGTATGTGTTTAGTCTGAGAATGCAAATTATGTGGCTACCTTGCCAACTAGGTGTTTAGAGTCTGGGAACTTTTCTGATAATGAGGTTACTGTGTGTGTGTGTGTGTACCACACACTGACTTATCTATTATCTAAAGAAAGATGCTTAATATTTTTTATCATTGGACCATAGTGAATGTTTAAAATTAGACTCTACGTAAACTTTTTAACAGAATTATCTTTAAATGTCATAGTTAATACTCCTGTTATAAGCCATATAATTTTAAAAAATTCAACAAAATTTTTTCTTAATAGTTTATTTTCACATCATTTTATGCCCTTTTCCATCTCAGTTGTAATCCCCTTGGGCTTCCCATCACCAAATCACCTGTGTGCGATCACCATAGTCCCGTGCACTCCCCTCCTCACACCCCCATTTTTGATCCCATTCCCCACTCCACCCCCATAAAATGCCTCTGGTATATAGTTGTTCATTATTGTTACTATTGTTTTCTCCCCTGGTCCTTTATACTCCTGCTGTGAGTGAAACCACCTGGTATTTTTCCGCCTTATTTCACTAAACATAATCCCTTCCAGCTCCATCCATGTTGCTGCAAAAGGCATGTGGTTATTTTTTCAAAAACTTTTAAATTGAGGTGCAGTGTTGGTTTGCAACACTTTTAGGTGTATACATTTACACCTATTGAAATGGATGTTACTATACCACATCCATCACCAAAGCACCAACAACTTCCATCCTAATCCATTGGGGCCCTTTCCCCCCAACCGGCTCTGTTTCTTTGTATTCCACATAAGAGTGAAATCACCTAGTATTGACTTTACCCTTCTGACTTCCTTCACTTACATAATTCCTTCCAGTTATATCCATGTAACTAATGGGAGAATTTATTTTTTTTTAAATAGCTGTGTAGGATTCCATTGTGTGTACAGACCACATTGTTGTAATCCACTCATCTGTCTTGGAGCACTTAGGTTGTTCCCATACCTTGACTGTTGTGAACAGGGGCGCCTTAGGAGTGAATCTGTCTCTTTGAGTTCTACAGTATAATTTAATGTAAGCATTGGAAAGGCTGCATAAATACCAAGAAATACATGAACATTTAATTTTATTTTTAAAAAGATTAATTTATTTATGCATACAAGAACTGGGGTACAGGCCAGAGGTGCAGGTGGTGAGAGAATTCACCAGAGACAGAGTGGGGAGCAGAACAGTCAGATCTACTGAAATCCACTGCTGAGGGTAGCAGCAGGCAGGACAGGAAAGGTCTGCCGGGCCGTGTGGGTCACCTTCCTGGCCAAAGATTGAACTTTTGCTGCAGTGGCTGCAGATATCTTCATAGTGCTGAGACGTAACCCTTTTGCCATCAAAGAGGGCCCTTCATGAACATTTTAAATTTATCTCTTTGATATTTGGTTTACCCTTAATATGTAACATATATAGTCCTTTAAAGTATTTAAAAATGTATTGGTGACGATGGATAGAATTGGCCTCGTTCTTAACTTAGGAAGACTTATCTATAGTTTCAGCAGTAAATTCTGATAGTTCTACTTACATGTATGTGTGTGTATATATGTGTGTGTGTGCGTATTTATGTAAGTATTCCCTATTTAAAGCTTTAACTTTTTTTTTAAGTTTGCTAAGGCAAAATAAGAGTTTTCTCATAATTTTAGGCAATATTTTCCCTAGACAGAGTATTCTGGATAAATATTCTTTAAATTAGTCCTTTAGGGCCTCCCTGGTGGTGAAGGGATTAAAGACAGCACTATCAAGTTAGCGCAGCCCCCCTGCTCACCTCAGCAGTGGATTTCAATACTTCTGCCTGTTCTGCTCCCCACTCTGTCTCTGGTAAATCTTCTCACCACCACACCTTTGGCCTGCACCCCATTAATTAAAAAAAAAATTAGTCTTTTAGCCAGTGTGTTGGTGCTGCAAGAAATTGTTTCTATTTTAGTCCATGACTTTGGGTCTGAGGCAGTTCACTGTTGATATTACAGAATGCTGTTCTAAATATTCCTCTGTGTGTTTTGCTGGGCTCTCCCCTCCACCCTTTTCGCTCCCTCTTACCCCCTTACAGATTGGTATGTAAATATAAAGCTTTAAATAGCTAACAGACACTTTTTAGATTGTTAGACTGTGGATTTACAGTCTTCACAGAAAAGTATGAGAGGTACATTTGCACTGATATTTGTGATAGATTTTTTCAGCTTTAAATCTGATACTAAATATAGTATCTTAACTTTGCATTTCTCAACTTTATAAACAGATGTGCTTATGACTTTTGTATTTCTGTTTTGTGCATTTAACTCTTGTTTTGTGTGTGTGTGTGTATCATTGTTCTTCGTTTTCCTAATAATTTTTAGGAACCTTTGTATATTACAAATAGCAGTCCTTTATGGAAAGATATATATGTTGTTTTAAATGAAAATTTTTTAATTTAAATTTTAAGATTCATGTAACATGTTGTATAACTTTTGAGTGTGCATCATTGAAAATCAGTGTGTAGAAAGTTCATTGTTGAGCATCAACTTCTGTTCTTCCCTATACCTTTGTCCCATTTTCTCAGTTCACCCACACCCTTTGTCCCTGCTTTCCACTACCTTCTGGTAAACATTGATTAGCCTTACAGTCCAGATGTTCATTTTTGTTTTATATAATTCATCTGTTTTCTCTGTATAACACAAATGAGTTAAATCATACCGTGTTTGTCTTTTTTTGACTTAGCTCATTGAGGTATAATCCTTCTGGGTCAGTCTCTGCTGTTGCAGGTGTCAGTATTTTTCTTGTAGATAGCTGAGTAGTATTCCATCATGCATGCATACCACATGTTTATCCATTCATCAGTTGATGGACGCGTCAGGCCCAGCTCTTCTTGGCTATTGTAAATAGCGCTATAAACACGGAGGTGTGTGTATCTCTTTGGATTATCTTTTGAGTATATACCAGTAAGTGGGAAAACTGGATTGTAGGGAATTTCTGAATATTTATTTTTGTTTATTTATGCATACAAAACTGGATATTTTTGAGGACTCCATTCTGCTTTCCATATTGGTTGCATCAATTTACAGTCCCACCACAGTATATAAATGTTATCTTCTGTCTACATTCTCTCCATGACTTGTTGTTTCTTGTCTGTTGGATGATAGCCATTCTCACAGGTGTGAGGTCATGTCTCAGTGATGTTTTGATTTTCGTTTCTCTAGTAATAAAAGATGAACATCTTTTCAAGTGCCTATTAGCCATCAGTATTTCTTATTTGGAGATGTGTTTTCATATCCTCTGTTCATTTTTTTTACAGGTGGCTTGCTTTTTATTTTATGAGTTCTTACATCTATATTTTGGGTATTAGTCTTTTGTTGGCTAGGCTTATACCTTAACCCATTCAGTAGGATGTCTTTTCATTTTGATAAGACAGTGGTACAGGGCCTTTTGGCTGTTAGCTGGGAATTGCATTTCTAATGAGATCTTGTATGTGGAAACTTCAACAATGTGGAGAACTAGGTTGCTTATTTATGAGTTTCTGAAAATGTTCTTGGGCAAGAAGCATCATATTTCTGTGCCTTAATTTGTGTAAAAATTAAACGATAAGTGGGTGGAAGAAGGGATTTAGAATCTTTGGGGTCTTTATACAAATTAAATGAGATAATTTATATATAAAGTGTCTAATATAAATCCTAGCAATTCTAATTTCTTTTCCTTCATTAAAGGCGGGAAATTATGGCTAACACTTTTTTTTTTTCATCAAGTACTAATGTGTTACTCATACTCAAGGGTAGCTGCTCATACCTATTTTATAATACTTGGAAAACTAAGTGAGACAGTCTCAGACTAGCTGCCAGGAGACCTGGGCTTGTGTTCCGGTTTCCTTTTAACTGGTGGTGTAACCCTTGATGAATCTTCGATCTCTGGCCCCCATTTGCTCATTTTTCAGCTCTCTATGAAATATTTTGGAAATCCATGGTCATTTTCTGATTGATTAAGAAGAAGGTATAATGAGAAAACCCACACAGTTTTCAGTTACTCTAAATTGTGTTGTTGAGTTCATTGCCTCTTGTTCTAGAATGGTAATTTTTTTCTTTTAAAACAGGTTTAAGTATCGTGTAAGCTGCATCAATGGAGCACATACAGGGGGCCTGGAAGACGATCAGCAATGGTTTTGGATTCAAAGATGCAGTGTTTGATGGCCCCAGCTGCATTTCGCCTACAATAGTTCAGCAGTTTGGCTATCAGCGTCGGGCATCGGATGATGGCAAACTTACGGACTCTTCGAAGACAAACAACACTATCCGTGTTTTCTTACCGAACAAACAAAGAACGGTGGTATGTGAACATTCCTCTCAGAAAATCTAGCTGTCCATCTGCCTGTAGAAAATATGGAGATGACCCATCTTAGAGACAGGCACAAATTCACTGTCATTTAAGAAATGTCTTTATTGCTTGGCTTTCCAGTAATTCCTTCCACACCTGCCATGTCCCCATCTCCCTACTTCTTTACCTTCATTCTATTACTATTCTTGCCTGGAATGTTGTCTTTTCTGTCACTTCAAACAAAAGTGCATTCTTAAAGAGGGGGTATAGTTCAAAGACTTCCCCTCCCCCTCCAAAAGCTTCCTTAGACCTTTTCTAATTAAAAAATAAAAGCAGTTTTCTTGAAAGCAAAATGTTCAATAAATTTTTTTGGATATTGCAATCAAATATATAGAAGACACTAAAATTACATAAAAAATTATTCTGGTGTATTTCACAGGCCGCTAGCAAAGCAGGAGAGGGGGGTCACAAACCACAGCGTTGGTCTCCTTTCGGGGTACTGGAGCCTCTTACTTCTTCACAGTTTATTTTTGTGGCACAGTGACAGATTCCCGCAGATGTCATGGCAGGACACAGCCACTTGTTTTCTAACACAAAACCCCCAGCTCTTCTAAGAAGTTTCTGCTCATGTGGTTTTCTGCGGTCCTGGATAAAAACTCATCTGTTTGAAGTAGAAAAGTGAAGTTGTGCTAATTTTGCTTGGTGGAACATTTGAGAAGATCTTAGGCTAAAACTTCTTTGTCTCCTTTTTCTCACCCTTAACATTCCCTGTGTGAAGTCGACATGCTCATTCTGGCCACCAAGGTGCGGGCGCACAGCTAAGAAGCTGGTGCGTCCAGTCTGGGGTTTTCTCAGCTGGTGTTTAATGATTTCCTCAGTTTTCTTTACACGTCTCTTGTGAAGCTAAGAAGCCTCCCAGCTGCAGTGTTGCACATTTTGAAGTAAAGGCAAAAATTCAAAAGGCAAATATAACTAGTAACAATCTTCTATAGTTCAGCATTGTTCTTTTATTTGCAAAATGCTTTCTACCCACTAATTCTCATTAATTTTCTATTAAATGGCCAGCACAGGTGGGAAGTATGAATGTGATGGGAAGTTGAAGGCCCAGCTGGTGCTGCTTCTGGGTGCTGCTGAGGCTCTCTGCTCCATCCCCACCCACTGCCAGTTTGCCTGGAAGACTGGGAGTAGTTTGGCTCATGATTATGTGTAGGAACCTTTAAGACAGCCAGGTTCACATTTAAATCCCCATTTTGCCTTTTATAAGCTGTATCATCTAGACATGTTATGTAATATTTTGATCTTTCAGAAGCGATCCTCATGCTGAATACAATAACCAAGTGACCAATTCCGAGGTTTTATCTAGCCGTGATTTTCTTCTACATCTGTCTAGTCCTTGACACCCTTCATTTCAGCATGGCCAGTGGTGTTTGGGAATCAGGGACTTGGCAGCTTAACTTCTACTGTGTCTGAGAAGATTCTGGCAGAAGTGGCCCTGGTTTTTGTGGTGAGAGCTAGCCTCTTTCACCAAGCACCCAGCTGCCGAGGAGCACTGCAGGAGGGAGGGAGCCCTGTGTGGCCAGCACTGTCAGCAGCTGTTTTCTGCTCACTCCCAGGTCACTTCACTGCTGGGACAAGAGTGACTTTCATGGTGGTTTAGTGGGCTCCAGAGACTCGTCACATTTCACCGAATATCCACGGGAAGCTGTAAAGAGGAGAGTGGCAGAGGAGAAAGGATGTGGATGTGATTTAACTAACTGTAGATTTAATAATTAGTAGTTTTTATTTTTGCAGATCAAAGACAGGGTGTGTCTTTTTAATTGAGGTAGCATTGTGTACCGCACTATTTAAGGGGACAGCTTCACATCTCAGCTGCATGGGGCTAGACTGTGCTTGCCACCAAAGTCTTCCCACAGTCCTTTACTCCAGGCCCTTGGGCTTTTTCCCTGCTTTGTGTCACCCCCACCTTCTGATTCTGCCGTCGTGTTTCTAGGGTTGCTTTGGTTCAGTTTTGTCAGTTTCCTGTTTTCTTTCTCTATATTCCACAAGTACGTGAAATCATGTGGTGTTTGTCTTTCTCTTTCTGAACTTAGCATCATTCTCTGCCATTCAGTCCTTGTCAAAAATAGCAGACATTAATTTTTTTTAAGTAGCCAAGTAGTAGTCCAACGTGTGTAGATGCCACATCTCCTTAATTCGCTCCTCCGTCACTGGGCCTTCAGTAGGCAAGAACATTCGTTCTGTCCTTGTTTTGTGAGCATACTGTCTTTGACTAAGCGCTGCTGCCTGGCTTATGCTGGATGAGCGAGTGGCCCATAGCTAAGGACTGTTAATTATTGCTAGGAGGAGGACGAGGCTGGCAATCTAGATATTCATAAATTCATTGGATGATTCAAATGCCCTGGTGATTGAGGATATTAGATGGACTCTTAAGATTGGTGACTTTCAGTGAGGATTAATGACTTAATACAGACAGCACTTTACAGTTTCCAAAGCACAGGTGTCTAGTCTTCACTTTGGATAGCTCATTTTGTGTGGTTGTTTCTGAAGAGCTGGGAGTTGGTGGGATCTTTCTAAGGGTATCATTGCTTCAGGAAACCTTTAAAATAGGGAACATTTTGAGTTATTACTTAAAGAAAAGATATCTTAAACCTTTAAATCAGATACAAACCCCTGCTCACAGCCCCCTGGGTGGGGGCGGGGCATCTGCTACCCCAGTGCATTCGCTCCAGTGGCTTCCTTTTGATTAGCTCTGTTGGCTTTAAAAACCCAGTCTCTTCAGATCTTACTGGAAGTTTTCACACCCTAGCACTCACACTGGCTGCTGGGCCTCTGCACACTCACCTTCATTGGGAAGATTGGGTGTGGGGAATGTGAGGGGGGCAAACTGCCAAGACACTGGGATGCCGGCGTGCGCTTGACAGGACCGGCCATGGTGCTTATCTTAAGTGCAAGCAGAAGCTCTAATCTCTCTGTTCCTGTTTTCCCTCAATAGTGTAAAGCGCATATGACAAGGAATATTTGTTGGGAAAGTCAACTATTATTAAAAATTGGTTGAAAGATAGAATTTGACTGGAAGAACTGATGCTTGTTTTTCGATCCGATTGTCTTATTTTCCTTTCTGGTAGATGTTCATGCCCGTACATTTCAGTGAGTCAGAAAGTGAGCTGTATTCTCTCCTGCCTGCTTTCTCCTGATGGCTGTGTCTCTCGCCACACTCCTAAGATACAGAGACATGCAATATAATATGTCTGTTTCCCTACCCTTTAAACAATCTTGCTTTTTGATTACTCTGAAAAATATTTCTCCCCAACACCATAGGTCCCTCCAACACCCCCGCAACATGCTCGCGTTCCTGGGCATCAGGTTGTGTCCCCTCTCTGTTTTTACCTGTCAGAAAGCATCTACATGGCCCTCTCGGCTGTGCCTTTGTTTCCCCACTCACCTTTGTGAGGGGTGTCCGGCCCGTGTTGTCTCAACAACCATGCTTTGTCTGTAGGTCAATGTGCGAAACGGAATGAGCTTGCACGACTGCCTGATGAAAGCGCTCAAAGTGAGGGGCCTGCAGCCAGAGTGCTGTGCGGTGTTCAGACTCCTGCATGAACACAAAGGGTAAGAAACGGACATCAGCCGCTTTGCACAAGCCTCTTAGCTCAAGTAACTGCTTCCATTTTTAAAATTTGTACCAGCTTTCTGTAGAATATTGTGTGTTTGTCTACCTTTGTTTATAAAGAGTTCAGAAAAATAATACTAAACACTTGAAATTTTCAACCATATGTTGAAATTTGAAATCCATAGTGGGCATCAATAGTGTTTCAGTAGAGGAAATTGCAGGGTCAGATGTTGCATGTTTTGAGAACAAAGACTTTTGTTTGCTCTGATGCAGTGTGCAGGGTGGGTGCTCGGAGCATGCCTGCCCGGTTGGTACAGACCAGCCTCCAGAGAGACTGTCTTGTCGCCCACTCATGTTTATTTACCTAACATTTTCTACTTACTGAATCCCTGCAGTTTGATAGACACAGGGCTAAAAAGATGAAGATTTGTGCTTCCAGGAAGAGCCATGGTCCATCTTATTTCTAATGGTAGTAGTAAGACAGAGGCATCCTCTCTGAGACGCAGAGCAGTAGCAGTAGCATCAGTGTAACTATCCATTTCCTACTATTGCAGTGCAGAACTTGCTCTAAAGTGGCTGTGGAGAGCTTCATGGTGCTGCGCTTTAACCCTTTGTACCACCAGGGCGGGCCCTCCACATTTTTTTACTTACGTGTTCTGGTTTTTTTAAATCTTGTTTAAGCACAGAAAATAATTTTTTTTTTTTAAGATTTATTTATTCGTACAGAACTGGGGTACAGGCCAGAGATGTGGAGGGTGAGAGGATTCACCAGAGACACAGTGGGGAGCAGAACAGGCAGATCGACGAAGTACACTGCTGAGGGGAGCCGCGGGTGGGTCAGGAGAGGTCTGCTGCACCATGTGGTCACCTCCGGGGCAGGCGGGGATCGAACTTGTGTGGAAGTGGCTTAAGCTTCTTAGTGCTGTGCTTTAACCCGCTGCGCCACCAGGGAGGGCCGGAGAAAATAAATTTTAAGACTACTGATTCTCAGGAAGTTTTAAGACATTTGTATTAAATCAATCTATATTTCTGCAAACCTTGCAGAACTTACAGGTTTGAGTATGTTAATATAAAAGTGCTTTTCCTTTGTGTTTTTTAAAATATTGATTTATTTATGCATATAGAACTGGGGATAGCCAGAATTGGGGGGTGCTGTGAGGATTTACCAGAGGTGGAGTAGGGCGCAGAACAGGCAGATATACTGAACTACAGTGTTAAGGGGAACAGTGAGGGGACAGGAGAGGTCTGATGCCATGTGGGTCACTCCCTTGCTGGGGATTGAACTCATACTGTGGTGGCTGGTGATAGCTCATAGTGCTGAGACTTTAACCCCTGTGCCACCAGGGAGGCCCCTGTGCTTCCTTTTTATATATCTTCTAGATTGAAGTAGGTGAGTGAAGTTTAAATTTTGCTGCTATATCAATGTTTATAACTATCTTTATAGAATTTTAATCTCAGAGTCCCAAATTATTACATTTACTTTATTGTGAGATTGCTATATATATCTCATTGTTAAAAGAAAATCTGAGAGCACAAACTTCGGAGTCCAGGAGACTTGGAGTCCAGCATAGGCCCTCACACTTGCGGTGACTGAGCAAGGCACCTTCTCCAAGTTCAGTTTTCAGATTAGTAAGACTGAGGATAGTGACACTGTGTAGGTTTGTTGTATGAATTAGATGAAGTTATGTGTGGGATTAAAGTTTTATGTTTATGTAGGAGATGAGTGGTAGCTGATAACTGTGTACTTCTTGTAGACGTTTCCCTTTCATACTATGTTTTTAAAATTTCCCTTTAGCAAAAAAGCACGTTTAGATTGGAACACTGATGCTGCCTCACTGATTGGAGAAGAGCTTCAAGTAGATTTCCTGGATCACGTTCCCCTCACAACACACAACTTTGTAAGTGGCAGACTTCCTTTCTCTCGGTCGCATGCAGCTTTAACTGGCATAGTGATCGCTCAGAAGTAGCACACGTAGGTTATGTTGGCTAGTCATGTTACTTTTCATGGTGAGTCCGCTGAGTTGCCATTAGTCACAGATGCACTGTAATTCCCAGCGAATTTTACAGATATTGGAAGTATGATTCCTCCTTCTGTGAAACCTGAGGGTCAAGAAGGTTGTCTTATTTTAGCTTTCATTTATTAAACCTAATTTACAACTTGTGTTCTTGTTTTCCAGGCTCGGAAGACCTTTCTGAAGCTCGCTTTCTGTGACATCTGTCAGAAGTTCCTGCTAAATGGATTTCGATGTCAGACTTGTGGCTACAAATTTCACGAGCATTGTAGCACCAAAGTACCTACTATGTGTGTGGACTGGAGTAATATCAGACAACTTCTGTAAGACATTATTCTTTTTTCAAGAATATAAGAGGGCAGAGAAGAACTCTTGAAGGTGCTTACTGTTTATTTGGCAGACAAGTCAGGGATATAGACGTCTAGAAAGAATTGTGATTTGGGAACTGTCTACTTTAGAACACAACAGTTCTAAGTGTTACTTCTAAGGCAAGTAGGTGGAACTGTAATCTGCCATATAGAGACTGATGCGTTATGGATCAGCAAGGAAAAGAATAACATGACATGAAGCAAAAAGATCTTTGACTTTTTTTTCTCTTACCAGTTTCAACATTTAGGTTCTTAGTCTTATAGACACTACTGTGTATTTTATTGAATACTGAACAGACTTTTGTGACATAGGTTAGTGTTGTTTTCTCCACCCAGAACTGGAGAAGACAGGGTGTCACATCTTGAAAGATGGCTGTGTCTGGTAGTGACACAAATGTACTTCATGTAGACAGGTGGTGTAGGAAGGGTTAAATTAAAGCTGCATGTTCTAAAGCATCTTTTAAACAGGATATGAAGTTAGAATTGACGTTGTCTCCTTCATTTGTGGGTCCTTCAAGAGCTCGGGAGGGCTGTCAGTAGCCCGTGATGGGGAGGGATCCTTTATGTTTTCAGGGCGGTCAGAGTACGTGGCTGGATGTGGCGCACTTGCCGGTAACTGCTCGCTCATCTGAGGAAGGGGTGCGCTTGCCTGCCTTGCACCTTCGTTTGAGGAAGGCAGAGAATGTGAGATCACTGAGTACAAGTACTCACCTCAGGGGAAGTGGATGCCCTGTGAGCGTTACTGGCACTTTGATTTATGGCTTTTGGTGCTGAATAGGACTTATTCTTCTATCTTTGTGTTGCCAAAATATACTGTTTCTAGAAAAGCTGTGATTTAGGTTATAAAGTGCCCTACTGTGGCTTTCCAGGCCTTTATATTTGAAATAGTTGGACAGAGGCCCAGTGCCCCCCAGAATGGGACACAGGCGCTGTGTGTTCTTGCAGCTCAGCAGCCCTCGTCTCTTGCAGTGACTCAGGCCCGGTCCTTTGGCTGGTGGCCGCCTACCCCGGGCGGCCTGAAACACGGGGAGGGAAAGGTCACTTGGAGTAGCTGTGAGTGTGTAAAGCAAGGCAGGTTGACGCTGTGAATACACTACAAGTTTGGAAACCAGTTTTCTCTGATTTCGTTTAGATTGTTTCCTAATTCTGCCGTTGCTGATAGTGGTGTCCCAGCACTGCCCTCCCTGACAATGCGTCGGATGCGAGAGTCTGTTTCCCGGATGCCTGTTAGGTAATCTTTTCACCTACAGCTTTTTTTTAAAGATTAATTTATTTATACATAGAAGAACTGGGGTATAGACCAGAACTGGGGAGAGGTGAAAAGATTCACCAGAGACAGGATGGGGAGCAGGCAGGCAGATGGACTGGAATCCATTGCTGAGGTAGCAGTGGGAAGGTCAGGAGAGGTCTGCCTCGCCACGTAGGTCAGCTCCCTGACCGGTGACCAAGTTCATGCTGCAGTGGCTGTGGATAGCTTCAGAGTGCTGCAGTTTAAACCATTTCATCACCAGGGAGAACCCACCTACAGCTTTTTTATTTTTGAAAGGCTGTATTGTGGCAGGTGGGGCTGAAAGTCTGAATAGGTTTCCAGAGTTCCCCATCTGTTCCTATGTGAGCACCTGCTGCTTCTGAGGAACTAATATCAGAGCAAAAGGTGAACTTTCTCTGTGTGGTCTGCAGTTTTTACCTTCTGGAAGGTGAATTTTGACTATAGTTTCTTTTAGTATAATTCCTTTAATATCTCCACATAGTAAAGAGCTTGAGATTTTGTCTTCTGACTGTGTGGTAAGTTGAGCCTCAGTTGAGCCTGATACTAAAAAAAATACTTAATATCCTTTCTAGCATGCCTGTGACTTTACATATGACTTGTCTCTGCTCTGTTTTCAACTTTAAAATCGGGTTTGTTGAGTTATATGTCTCCTTTGTTACACATGAATTTGAGAACCTGAAATAAAATGTATTCTTTGTCCAGAGAATATAACTTAATGTGTATGTAATTATATATTATTTAGTGGCCTTTGTAAAATTACCATGGAAATTGCTAAAATCAGCCTATCTCAGACAAGGACTTTGTACTGAAATGATACCTTACTTACTTTGCTTGCTAACTTGAAAAACAAATTATGACTCAAATCTCTAGTATTTCATGAAGGAAGTAGCCCGCTGGAGGCATATATTTTGAGTTACCTATGAGGGCAATTTTTATGGCACTAGAGCACTTTTTCTTAGAAAAACATCTTTTATCCCTTGAATTTATACTTGAATTGAACAAAACTCAGTCTTTAAATTAAATAAGGAGAACCTTAGGCATTATGCATGTTCCAGGTTTGTTGGTGGGTGACACTGGCTGAAAGAGGCCACTTGTTAATTTCAGGTAGGTAATTGTAAATTAAAGACTGAAACCACATTGATTGGCTTTAAGCTGTTATGGGGAAGAGACAAGGTGGATAAAACACAGCCAGGCCCCCCCCCTCCCCCCCGCCACACTCCCCAGCCCATGGCCAAAGAGGTTAAGTCTCAGCATTGTGAGGCTGTCTGCAGCACAAATCCCCAGCCAGTGAGTGACCCCCCCATGGCACTGCAGACCTCTCCTGCCCCACCTGCTGCTCCCCTCAGCAGTGGATTTCAGTAGATCCTTCTGTTCTGCTCCCCCACTCTGTCTCTGGTGAGTCCTCTCACCACCCCCACACCTCTGGCCTAAACTCCAGTTCTTATATGCATAAATAAATCTTTTGAAAAACAGAAACAGTGACCTTTCATAGATGTGTTTAGCAGGTCTGTTTAAAATTTCTTTTTTTTTTTTTAAAGATTTATTTATTTGTGCATACAGAACTGGGGTACAGGCCAGAGGCTCAGGGGCGGTGAGAGGATTCACCAGAGACAGAGCGGGGAATAGAACAGGCAGATCGACGAAGTACACTGCTGAGAGGAGCAGCGGGCGGGTCAGGAGAGGTCTGCCACGCCATGTGGTCACCTTCGGGGCAGGCGGGAATCGAACTCATGCAGAAGCGGCTTTAGATTCTCAGTGCTGTGCTTTAACCCACTGCGCCACCAGGGAGGGCCTAAAATTTCTTTTATTCTCTGAAGTGGGCAAGTTCTAACTGGTTTAGTAGGTAGTGAAGTGGTTGGCAAATGCTAATATGTTTTCTTCTAGAGATGGTCTGATCTTTTGGAGCATTGAAGAAAACTTACATTTTCTTCTCATGTGAATTCCATGCATGCGTTATTATTTTCTTTTCAAAATACATATACAGAAGCACCTAAACAAAAGAGAATTTTTCCAGACCTTATACAGTACAGGCAGAGTTTACTGCTGAGTATTCTAATGAAGCAGGAAATTCTCAGAGACTTGACCAGTGGGGCTGCGGGACTGTCAGTCATGGGATTTTTCTTCTCCTTTCCTAGTTCCCAGCACAGATACTCCACACCCCACGCCTTCACATTCAACACCTCCAGCCCCTCTGCTGAAGGTTCTCTCTCCCAGAGGCAGAGGTCAACGTCCACGCCTAATGTCCACATGGTTAGCACCACCATGCCTGTGGACAGCAGGATGATTGAGGTAATAGGGCCCTGAGGGTGGAGGGAGGGTTGATTATTGTGCCAGAGAATTATGGGTTTCCTGATCAGAAATGTTGTAGCTTATTCTCAGGTCCTTGGAACTTTGTGGATTTATTTTTTATCCACTGCATCTTTAATGGCTAAATAATCCATTTGATATTATCATTCAAGTGGAAAGCTAAGTTTTCCTGCAGAAATGCTGACATTTGAGCTGTAGTCCTGGGCAAATCTGTTAAAATTTCAGTGAGCTAGTGATTAAGAATCCTTTTTGGTGTGGGAAAGAAAATAATGATGAGGAACACCAAATCCTCTGAAAGACTTAAGTTTTAAGCGATTTTACAGAAAGAAAAGGATTTTAATGAAGCAGGTATTTAGGGAAGACGCAAAGTACCCAGAGGTAGTGTTTTCCACCGCCTTTTCTTTCCTTGGCTTTTTGGTATGTTCTTTTTGTTGGTTTGCTTTCTAGTGCATCTTTGATAACAACTGAATTCACCTAAAATACTTCCTTTGTTCTTTATTCTTCTTTATTTCTCATTGCTTTGGACTAGAATAACAGCCTGAATGCTTCTCCCAGGGCGTGGTCCAGACGATTTTGTTTGAGGGGAAGAGTAGGTATTTTTCTTCATGCCTTTGCTTTCTTGTACATTAACAGGATTGCTAAGACTGTCAGATAGTATATTATCAAACATGAAAGAACTGCTAAGTAAATTTTACATTTCTTAGACTTGTTTTCATGTTTGGTAGCAGAGTGCACAGGGGGAAAAAAGAAACACTGTGTGTTACTGCTGATCAGTGATGTTTCTAAAGTGAAATTTTTGAGACCAAGAACATTAAAATTTAGTATCTCACTTCCAGTCAAAGATCAGTGCTTGATTTACATAGCTGTTGCTGTGCCCTGAAAATCTTGTTAAAATCCTGTCAGAGACAGCTGTGCCTTCTGCATGCCATGTTCACGGGGGCCTCAGGACACTGCCGCTTCCGGCCCCACCTCTCAGGTCTCACGGCAGTCAGGGAGGAGGCTCAGCAAGTGGACTTGGAATGTGGGGCTCAAACTGGTTGTTAGGGGTACTTTCAATGTCAGGATTATGGCTGAGGAGATCCTTTGTGTGTCTGTGTAGTGTAAGCTACATATTTCATTTCTGTTTTATCATGATTAGCCCTGATATCACAGCAGTAATATACCAGTTACTTCTGTTACACTTTACTCCTGTATAAATACTCAGACTTTGGGGAACATTAAAATTGCGAATTCTTGAAATTTTGTCATAAAATAACTAGCCCATCTGTTGTGCTCAGTTCTCTTTATAATTTAGTCAGGATGGATTTTTGATTACTGTTTTTTTTTTTAAAAATCACATGATTTAGCATTTTAAAAATACACATTCTTGGCTGTAGTTAAATCATTTGTGATTCTCTTTTTTACTATTTAGACTCCAAGATGAAACATTTCTTTTGGATAAATTAATCCAATTGTATTATAGGAAATTAGCACAGAACAAGCTAAGTATATAGTGGATAAGAAAATTATTGTGACACTAAAAATTCTAGTACATGGTATATAATTCTGGTCAATAAAAGTACATGTGTCATGCTTTGACCAAAAAGAGAGTAGATTAGTTGGATGATTAAGCTACAAGCCCTAAATATTCTATTGAGATTCAGATTACTGCTGACCGTGTTTGCCCGTGTGGGGGCCCTCTCATGGCCCTGACAAGCATGCAGTTTGGGGTGTCCCACCTCCCCTCAGATGTGCTTCCGCAGTGCTGTGAGGGTGTGTGCCGGCAGTCTGTGTTCTCACACTCCTCTCCAAGTGATCTTGAAGACTGGCCAGGGTCACACCCTGGGCCCAGGCTTTGCTGGAAGACACAGAGGACGCTTGTGCAGCCGCTGGAGGGCCGGGCACTGGGCTCAAGATTCTTGTTACTGTCACCTTGCAAAAGTGTGGAGCAGGAACATTCTAGTAATAATTACAGGGAAAAATAGCTTTAACTCTGGCTGTACACCAGCATAGTATTTCCCTGGAAAATGTCCTTTTTGAGGATGTGGCGCCAGCTGATTCTGTAGTAACATTTATAAGCTCTAAGCGTGGCTTTATAAAATGAGAATTTAGGGGTAGTGGTGGGCTCTGAGGTTTCTCCAGTTCCCACTCAGTTCTAAAGTAGCTTTGACGGCTTAGACGAGTAGAAAGTAACTCAGTTCAGAGCTTATTGGCAGGTCTCAGGAGCATATTGGGGCTCGGGGTAGTGATGGGGCGATGTTTCAGGTTCCGTTTCCGCCACCGGCTGGCTGTGGGATCCTGGCCTGCTGTCCTTACCTGCATCCTTCCAGCTTCCCCCAGCTTTAGGCTCTGATGATGAATGTAGCCATCAAACCCAGTTTCTGGTCAGTGAGCTCTGAATTCCTAAAAGTGCGAATGCCCTAGCCAGTGGTGGTCACGTGGAAGCTCTCGGGCTGGGCTTTGCTAGTCCTACAGGGTGCCTCTGCCGTGTGCCTTTTGCTTAGAAAAGGACTGTGGTTTCCATTGTGTGTGAAACAGTAACATCATTCCTGATAATTGATAACAAGAAATGGGCAATATTGACTACTGACATTTGGTGAATTTAATCAAAGGAAAGTTAAGAGTTAATTAGACCTTTTCTAATTTATAAGTTTCATAATCCATTTTGTTCCTGTAAATCTGTTCCCTGCTCCCTTCCCTAAGAACATCTTTCCAGCATAGCGATTGACTGGCATTCCTTTTCTGTTTCAGGATGCAATTCGAAGTCACAGTGAATCAGGTACTTGTCCAAAGTCCTTTAGCAAATAGTAATGGGCTTTTTCTCTTTATGCTGTGTATTTTCTGTTGCTTATCCACGTGTGGATTCTGTTTGTCTTGTCCATTAAGCCTCACCTTCAGCCTTGTCCAGCAGCCCCAACAACCTGAGCCCAACGGGCTGGTCACAACCCAAAGCCCCCATGCCAGCACAGAGAGAACGGGCACCAGGATCTGGGACCCAGGAGAAAAACAAAATTGTGAGTATGACCCACGATACCTATTGAATCTTCAGGATTCAATGGGGGGGGGGCGGGGGGGGAGTGCTAGTGAACACTTAAGGCTGTCGTGAATGCCTGTGCCGGCTTGGCGTGCTTGGAGGGGACGTGCTTGCTGTGTCAGGCCGTGCGTGACTGCAACAGCATTTTCTCAGCAGACTGAAACTGCCATTGTCATTAAAAGGTGGAGGTGGTTGGTCTTGTCTTTGACACCTGTCAGACAGACCTTTCCTGGCCCGTAGAGGTAGTAACAAGAGCTTCTTATTTCAGAGGCCTCGTGGACAGAGAGACTCAAGCTATTACTGGGAGATAGAGGCCAGCGAGGTGATGCTGTCCACGCGGATTGGGTCAGGCTCCTTTGGAACTGTTTATAAGGGCAAGTGGCATGGTAAGTTTGTCACCCTCCCCTGGGACCCACGGCGCGACTGCACAGACAGGGGCTTCAGTATAAAGAGTGGACTTGCTATGTTGCGCCGCCCTTCAGTGGCCTTTGTAGGCCTGGTGAGGCTCAAGAGCACACCCCCGCCTGGAGACCCCACCCCAGCTGACCGCTGAGACTTAGCACTTTGAGACATCAAGAGGAGGACTGGTGTTCATCCTGGCTTCTTCTGGAACGCAGGACCATGTCTAATGAATTTGAAATACCTAAATCACATTTAAGTTAGTTGATTTGAAAAAATAAAACCATTGCAGATTCACCAGCCATAAGAGCTCTTCTTCCACTGGGGGGTGAGAGCGCGGCAGAGCTGGCGGCCTGTCTCCGGGCTCATTCCAGCTCCAGGTGGTTCTTCTCAGTGGAAGACAGGTCTTTGGAGGAGTTAAAGTCCACTTTCCTGTGTGCCCACTGGTTCCCAGCCTGGCCCGTGTCTTGGCCGCCCTTGCCTATTTACAGGGAATCGAGGCGAGTGCCCATGAGCTATGGCTTCTGGGTTTCGTAAGCTGCATGTCACATTGCTGTAACTGCACTGTTGAGCCGCTCAGCTGGGCCCGGCTGGCGGTGGCTGCCCTTGATTTGAGCTCGTCTTCCCGTGGTCACTCGCCTGAGGACGCAGTAGTGTGGGGTGTGTCGATTGGATCTGGGTAGTAGTGTTTAGGAAGATGAGAGGATTTGACTTGGCCTTGACTTGGCCTTGACGGTGCTACAGAGAACTCTCTCCTGGAATAGTCCTGTTCATTGTTACAAAAAAGTAGCAGCAGAGGATGTTCAGCTGACAGAGGTCAGAGCCAGTTTGTGAGAGCCGTGCGGTTGCCAATGGCGACCCGGTCCACGCCGATCGGGTCAGACTGGGTGACAGAGGCGAGTTCAGTGACGAGCAGGCCTAGAGGAGAGCCGCGAAGCAGGGAAGAGTACACAAAGCCAGGCTCGTGCGGTCCCAAGCAGCTCCCCCCACCTCCTATGAGCCCTCTGGGTTCTCCCAGACTGTCGGCAACCCCCTTTTAAGCTCTGCCCAGCACGGGGGCGCCCTCACTGCCCAATCTGGCGCTGCACTCAATTGGGTCAGTTCGCTTCTGCGGAGTGACCTGCCTCCGCCTGCTTCCTGTCCCCACGGTCCCCATGCTGCATCGGCCTGGCCTCCAGTCCTACGGGTGCCCAGACCACACGCTGGCGTTTCTGTCGGCCCTCACCTCTCTCTCCGGAACAGCCTCCTTCCTGTGTCGTGAGACCCTTTCCTTGGCTTCTCCCTCCTGCAACATTCACCTGCCCGCCCCGCCCCCAGCACTCCCGCTAGGCTCACGGCTACAGAAGGAGCAGTCAGCGGGGCTCCTGGCTTCCCGACTAGGGTGCACGCCCCATGTGGTTGGCCAGTCTGATCTTCTAAGCCACGCAACGGCGCACCAGGGCCTCCCCCACAGAGCGAGCAGCGTCATTGCAGGCAGCCGGGGCCCTTGGCCAATACATGTGCCGGTGAATTGGACGCGAGCCCGTTTGGGGGCTGCTGTGGAGACTTCAGCTTTAGGTGCCAAAACCAGAGCTCTTGGGGCTGCACTTGGGGGCCTGTTGTAAGAGCTATCTCTACCAGCAGTTGCTCCCCAAAACTTAAGAAGGCTTGGCCGGAGGCTGCATGGAGCAGGATACTGCTGGTGCCCCCAGTGCGGCCCTCGGGAGGCAGCGGGGTCCCAGCAGGACTCCGAGTCACTCGCTAGTAACCACTCTCACCTGGGCATCGAAGTAACTGACAGTGGCTCCCAGTCAGGGGCACGTACAAACTAGATTCGACCCCGCTGCTAAGTTCTGTGGAGAGCCGGCGTTCATCCGTGACCGAGTCCTGGAAGCAGCAGCGCAGCGCCTGGAGCCGCACTGGAGGCCCATCCTGGACCAGCACTTTGGGTTTTGGGCCGTGATGGTGGGGTGCTGACTGAAGTTCTCCGCCTGCTGTCTGTGAAAGCAAGATCATGGTAGCAACATCATGGGCAGCGGAGGCCGGCAGAGACGAGCCTGGAGCTCCCGGCCGGCAGCGTGCGCAGGCCCTGCGCCGGGGGTGCTTGGGTTGGTTCTGAGGGCAGAGACGCCTAGTGGCAGTGTACAGGGGCCTTCTCAGGTCTCGGCGCGCAGTGGCCCCCAAGCTTAGCGCCCAGCACCCGCAGACGTCTCCTCACAGGCACGTGTGCCCTGTCCGTGGGCCCTCCCCGAGAGGCCGCCAGGCTTGACGGGGCACAGGCACCCCGCCCGGGGCTTGCGGAATAGTGGCTTTAAAGCTGGTAGCAGGGTGTAACTTTCTTCACTGAGTTTAGTTAATTTGTGCATTTCTATGTTTTTAAGTATGGTTGGTGGAATAAATAATTCAATGACCTCAAAAGTAGGGTGTTTGAAAGATCAGCTCACTCAACCGACTGTGTATGCTCTAATCGCAGGGGACGTTGCGGTGAAGATCCTAAAGGTGGTTGACCCGACCCCGGAGCAGTTCCAGGCCTTCAGGAACGAGGTGGCCGTCCTGCGGTGAGTAGGCCCATGTGAGGCACCAGCCGGGAACAGGGCTGCTGGCCGGCGAGGGCCCCAGCACCTGCGGGAGCCGCCTCCCTGGAGCTCGTTTCCCTCCCTGCACATGGGCTTGCCAGGCCCGCAGAAAGACCATCTCCACACGCATGCCCTTGTCCAGCACTGCAAGGCCCTGGCACACTAATTACAGCCTGAGTTCTGCTTCCACATTCATTCCTGCAAATCTTTTCATAGCCAAGCTGCCTGTCCTGGACTTCAGGGCCTTCAGCTTTCCGTCTTGTAGGAATAAAAAGTTCAGTAATGAAGTCTGAATTCCAAGATGAGGGATCCTTGTGCCCTGTGGTAAGAACTGTGTGTGTACACTGATGAGAAAGTCCCCACTCAGCAGGACCAGTGCGAACAGAGGTGGTGGAACAGGGTGCCTCAGTCAGCTCCAGCAGCAGCCGGGTGTCAGCGTCTCGTCCATTCGCCGCCCACCTGACTGAGCCTGGCGCTGCCGTGCACACAGCCGGCGTCAGTGGGTTCAGAGCCTCCCTTTTCTCCCCTCTTCCAGCAAAACGCGGCATGTGAACATACTGCTCTTCATGGGGTACATGACAAAGGACAATCTGGCGATTGTGACCCAGTGGTGCGAGGGCAGCAGCCTCTACAAACACCTGCATGTCCAGGAGACCAAGTTTCAGATGTTCCAGTTGATCGACATTGCGCGGCAGACAGCTCAGGGCATGGAGTAAGTGGACAGCTTGGCGGGCGCCGTGCTGGGCAGTGAGGCACACGCTGCCCCTGGCCCCGCAGCTGAAACCAGGGTTGGGAAGGTCATCAGGCCTGTTATTTCTGGGCTAGTTCTTGTGCAGGAGCCATGGGGGCGTCTGGAGGGGCCCTTATCAGGGAAGAGGTTCCTTGGCCAAGATGAGGCTTCCCCTCAAGGTTCAGATTCTGGTTCCTGCTACTTGCCCTGAAGATTCAGCCAGAAAGACAGAGGTTGGTGGAGGGAAGAAACTAAAGAAATACAGATGAATCAAGGAACCATTTAAACTACAATACAAACAAGTATTCTGAGGCTTTAGAAGTAAAAGGTTTTGAAATTTTGCCAGTGTCAGAGGATTCAACCAGAGGTGCCGAAACTGGGGTTGGCACCTTCCATGGGAGATCCGGTCGGCCACACGTGTGCGGAATGCCACGTTCTGAGGATCGGTGCCCCTTAGACACCATCCTTGTGTGTCTGCTGATACTTCCTGTGGAAGGTGTTGGGCTGTGCCTGTGTGCACCCCATGCTTGGCAGGCCCAGGGCTTCAGACGCTAAAGCGCCCCCGTGTGGAGGACCAGGAGCGTGCACACCTCAGATGGCAGGGGCTGGAGCTGGGCCGCGAGTGCACACACAGCCGCCCATCTTGAGTGTCCATGTGGTATTGGCGTTCCTCACAGTCCAAGGCGTAACTGGTCGTGCTCTAGAAAAATTCTGCTAAATTATAGACGCATGCCTTTCCTAAGGGTGAGCACAGTGCCATCCAGTGGCTTGGGCACATTCACGAGGCAGCCATCTGTGTAAGTGTACATTTCAAGACGTGAGGGCGTGGCGCCTGGCTGTGTCCTGGGCTCGTGTGTGGAGGCTCTCCCATGGCGCACAGCTCCGAGTCGTTTTCTGTGTTTCAGCTGGGCCCTGGCTTCTCAGTTACATCGTGAGGCAAATGAATGTGCTTAGAGTTGCAGCCTTAACCTTCCGAGTCCTGAGTAGACCGGCCTGAACCAGCACAGCCCAGCCCCCCAGTAGCTGGGAGCCAGGCCTTCAAGTGGTGCTTTAGCTGTAGTTTGAAACTGCGTTTTTGTTTTTGTTTCCCCTTCACAGCTACTTGCATGCAAAGAACATCATTCACAGAGACATGAAATCCAACAGTATCCTTTGGTGGTGGTTTCATTTGATTCCTCATTTCTAAACTTGGGAAAACAGAAGGAAGACTTTATCTCTAAAAATATGACTTTGGAAATATTTCCAAGAGTTGCACAAACCCACATGTTTGAAAGGGGCCTGTTCATCACTAAGTTTTACTGAGCTATTGTCTTTTATAGTTCTGATGTGTGCGCAGTGGTTATCTGCAGCTATAAGCCAAATGTTGCCAGGCTTTTAAATTTACTAAAGTTTGTTTTAGAAAAGTACAGTGCAGTGCTTTTCAGTATCACTGCTGAAATCAGTTTTCCCCTAAGAAAATAGATTCTTGTAGATGGGGAATGGATAGCGATACCATTTTCATCTGCTGCCCCCCCCCCCCAAGGGGTGTTGTGACAGGCCCACAGCGGCCTGCCAGAGTTGGAGGTGGGATGTGGCCTAGCTGGTCGTGTGTCTGAGGCATGGAGGCTACCTGGTAGCAGTGGATTCTGGGCCACACCGTCTGCTCTCAAGCAGACACCAGAGGTCTCACTGGGCCTCAGCAAGTCCCTAGCCTCACTGGCTGACTAGAAGCCAAATGACAGGGCTGGAAGTCATGGAGTGGCACCTGTTCCAAGGTGTCACAGGACAGCATTGGGTGCAGGGTAAGCCGGCAGCAGGCATGCCCTGCTCTGGGGAGTCTGGGGTTTAAGACATCTCCATTCTATGTGGCAGGGACTTGCAACCTTGAAGCAAAGGGGTGAACGGGTTTGAAGCTGGTAAGCTAGATGCCCCCCCCCCATCTGCCTCCCAGAAGGGATTCAACAGAGAAGGCTGAGGGGGCACCATACTGTGCTACTAAGAATGAAAAGTTTTTCAAGATTAACCATTCTTTGAAGTCAGAATCCTTAACGAGCATTGAGATATATTTCTTCATGAAGGCCTGACGGTGAAAATCGGAGACTTTGGTTTGGCGACAGTGAAGTCTCGCTGGAGTGGTTCTCAGCAGGTTGAACAACCCACTGGCTCTATCCTGTGGATGGTGAGGAGGCTGGGTTTCTAGGGACCTGTGTCCCAACTTAAAGTATTTCTCTACATCTCCCCAGAGTCCAGCTCTTTACAATAACACCCATAGGATCAGTCTGGGCGGATTTGGGTTTCCTGGAGGAAGTGGACGCCAGAGCCACAGTGCGGCAGGCTGACCTGGAGGATGCGCTGGGCCCCCTGAGCTCTTTGGAGCCTCAGTCAGGGACTTAGGCAGAGCCATAGAGGAAAGGGCCCTCCCACCGGGGAGTGACCGCTGTACTCTGTTCCCGTAGGCCCCAGAGGTGATCCGAATGCAGGACAACAACCCATTCAGCTTCCAGTCTGATGTCTACTCCTACGGCATCGTGTTGTACGAGCTCATGACGGGCGAGCTTCCTTACTCCCACATCAACAACCGCGATCAGGTACGTGCCCGGAGTCTCCTACCTGGCCAAGCACAAAGGCTGGACGCTGTGCATTCACTGTCTCGTCCCCCGCCCCCCTTCCCCTTAGATCATCTTCATGGTCGGCCGAGGCTATGCTTCCCCAGATCTTAGCAAGCTCTATAAGAACTGCCCCAAGGCCATGAAGAGGCTTGTCGCTGACTGTGTGAAGAAAGTTAAGGAAGAGAGGCCTCTCTTTCCTCAGGTAAGACCAGCCCAGGGGTGCTGGATCCCTTGAGTCAGGCCTTCCTGAGCCGAGAGGGAGAGGCTGGTGTCCCTGCCAGCTGTAGGGCAGGGCAGAGGAAGACTGTATAGGACCCTAGTGAAGACTCTGTGCGGTGCCTCGTTGCAGATCCTGTCTTCCATCGAGCTGCTCCAGCACTCTCTGCCGAAAATAAACCGGAGCGCTTCTGAGCCATCCCTGCACCGGGCGGCCCACACCGAGGACATCAATGCCTGCACGCTGACTACGTCCCCCAGGCTGCCTGTCTTCTAGCTGACCCTGCTCCTACTCGGGTCCCCAGGGAGGAAAGACGCCTGCAGGTGCCACTTTCCTGCTCCCTCTACGGGGACAGAGAGCTCGTTTTCAGAGAAGCTGCTGCTAAGGACCTTCTGACTACTCACAGGGCCTTAACTTCACGTTGCCTTCGACCCTTCCTGGCCCTGGGGAGGAAGCCATTCAGATGCTGGTTTGTCCTGCTCCTTCCCTCGTGCTCGTGAGCCAGGCCCTCTCCAGATGCACCAATGGCTGCTGAAGGCAGTGCAGGTTGGGGGGCCCCAGCTGCTGGCCGTGTGAGTATGTTTAGGGGCTAAGAAAGCCCTCAGAGGGGAAAAGAAAGTAGCAGGCAAACTAGCCCCAATGGGGGACGCATGGATTTTGAAATTGGGCCCCTATGAGGCCTGCTCATCCCAGGATGGACTTTGTTCAGGGTGAGCAGGGTGGTGCCAGAGAGGTGGTTTTGCACGTGACCCCAACAGCCCAGGACTGTCAAGACTGACCGCCTGAGGAGCTGCTTTGGCACCATGGACTTGGACTTCGGGGGTACTTCCCTTTCTCGGAGGTCTCCAGGACACTGGGATGGCGTCCCAGGAGCCACTTGGCCTGCCCCTTCTAGTCTCCCTGCAGGGAGCAGTCTTCCATCATGCTGAATTTAGTCTTCCAGGAGCTGCCCCTATGGGGCGGGGCCACAGGGCAGCCTTGTCTCTGTAGTCACATCACCTGTATGCAAGGAAGCCAGAAATAGAGGTTTTCTTGATGATCTGGGTTTTAATTTTGTTTTTATTGCGCCTGACAAAATACAGTTATCCAATGGTTTCTCAAGTACATTATTTTAATAAAATAAATTAAATGTAGGTTTAGTGGCTGTTTCTCCAAAGCTGACCTCACAGCCTGAATCCTCCGTTGGCTTATCCCTGCTGGAGCAAATGCCACAGCTGGGAGTAGATGTGACTGACTATAAAACTACAGAGCGCGTTAACCTCGGGTCAGGGGAGACTTTTCCACCCACTTTGAAGTAATGCATTTTATAAAGTATTTGGTATCTACAGCTGCTTACAAAAATAGAACATTCAGGCCAGGAGCACACGTGCTGACCACGCAGCCCTGTTCTTTCCAGCTGAAGTCACAGTGGCAACAGAGGTGGCCACAGGTCTCTTTAGGGCCGCCGTTGGGTTAGAGCCGGAAACTCTCAGTGCCCCTAGATTTATGCAAAGTTTCACACCAAAGCCAGGCTTTGCAGAAGAGAACAGAGGGCGAGCAGGAAGCCCTTGTTAGGTGAGTCTGGGCAGGCTGGGTGCCCTCGGCCAGAAAGTGGCCTGCGCTGTCACTCAAGCTCCCTACTCCGAGAGCCACGGCCTGTCCCTGATGGACACGTGGTCCTGGACACTGCACGCTCCACCCTGCTTCATGTGCGCGCCGACTAGTACTTGCTATAAAGGGTCCCGCTACTGCGCTTAAGAGGCCTAAACTAAAAAAAATGAGCTGCTGCAGCCCTGGGGCAGCTGACAGTGGATGGTGTCTAGGGAGGACGGGAGCCAGGCTGGTTTTAAAAGCAAAGTCTGGCTGATGCCCGAGGAGCTTGAGGTGCAACTTAGATACCAACTAAGAAGGGAGAGACCTGCACACGGCCAGGTGGATTTATACCCTGCACTTCCCACGGAGAGGTGACTAGACCGGGTTAACAAGCACGGCGCCACCTGGGCTGTGGCAGGGACGCACGCCCTGGCTTGGAACGGCTCGGCTGGGACGCAGGCTCCCTCAGGGTTCTGAGGACTCCACTCCAGACAGGTGCATGAAGAGGTCCCCGAGCTCCGTCATGTCCACGTCTTCAGTGCTGCGCACATGCTGGCTTTCCCGGTTCTCGATGAAGTCCCAGAGCCGCACGGAGTTGAAGAACTGCAAGAAAGCCGGACGGTGACTGGCGAGGCGAGGCGAGGGCTGGGAGTGTCACCGCCCTCCTGCCCACCCACCCCCTGCTTACAATGCTGAGAGAGCCTGGGACGGTCCCAGAAATGCCACTGCTCTGCACCCCTGACTAGAACTGGCCAAGTCCTTACCCTCACGGTGCCTTCAGAACCCAGCTGCTTTCGAGGCTTCTCGGGCTCCGCTAGCCTCCCGTCGGGGTAAGCGTGGCGGTATAGGCATTTGCTTCCGAACGGGCAGGTCCCCTTGCCTTGTTCAAAGTATTTACAAGCTTTTTTTCTGGAAAAAATGATGACGGGAGAATATGGGGTCCAGATGAAGTGCCTTCCGTCGCTGTCTGGGATGGCCCAGGGGCTCAGCCTCAGTGTAAGTGGGGAACTAAGGCTCACAGAGGCCGGGACGCTGATCTCCAAGCGGGTTATAGTCCCAGGCGTCCTGCTCACATTCAGAAGCCCAAAAAGCTTCAGTCAAGGAAAGTCTCCCTGACAGCCTGGAGCACAGACTTCCTCCCTTGGGAGTCATGGGGAACCTAATGTCACAGGTCTCATCCCAGCTGTCCTTGGTCCCCACATTCTGTGCGACAGACACCTCGGGACAGGTTCTTTCCACCCCCACGCTTCTGGTAACTTTTACAGACTTCCCTTCGAATGCCTTCCAGGCTCCTGGTAAGGGCCTTTGCCCCTGAGGAAATGCACCTTTTTGCTCAAATATAACTTGGCTGAAAAATGACCCCATGCCGAAGGGGAAGAGGCAGAGAAGGCAAGGGCCCCCAGGGGAACCCAGGAAGGACAAACTGTAGGGGCCAGGGAACCTGCAGGTGGCGGTGATGGAGGCGTGTGTGTGTGTGTGGGGGGGACTCCTGGAGTCCGACCTGCCAGGGGACAGCAGACACCGGTGGCAAAGGTTTTATAGCCACCTCAGAAGAGAAGCAGTGGGAGGCGCAACCTGGCCCCTGCCCGGGTGTGACTCGGCGCAGCAGTTAGGGGTGGCGCCAAGCGGACCTTGCACGCCGGCCTGCGTGGCGAGGGCTCGGGGATCTGAACGCCTCCACTGGTTTCTCCAGTCCCCGCCATGAACAACTGTTCCTTCTCCTCCCAAGCCAGACACCAGCACAAAAGCTCCACGTCCATGCAGCCCCCTGGGTTCTCAGCTGGCACAGCTGAACCTGCCGGGGGCGCCCTCCCAACCTTCTACCTCGGTGCCACCCCGAGGAGCCGCCCTTCCGGCTGCCGTCCTGTGGGTGCCTCTCCCTCTGCTGCCTGACACAAGACCGGTCCAACCTGCATCATGTCCACCACTGCACTCCAGTCTAGGCCCTCAGGCTTTGGTGGCGCAGGGACCCGTGTGGACCTGAGCGCCTTCCCTGCTGCCAAAGCTGTGGCACCTGGCTTAGGCCGCTCGTAAAATGTGTCACGAGGTCTGGACCTCACCTTGTCCTTTTGCCATTTCCCACAGTCCTCTTCCTTTCTGGCCCCTCCACTGGCGCTCAGCTCAGAAAGCAAAGCCAGGGGCACCTGACAGCCACGCCAGGAGACGCCGTCCCGCGGGATGGGCCCCTCTGCCTAGCGGCCACACAGCCGCAGGTAAAACGGGAAAACTATCAAATCTGGAGTTGCGAGGCCATTTAAGGGAACCTTTTCAAAAGGTGACCCACAGCTCCACTTTCAGTTCACCAAAAAGGTGACCAGGGAGAAAAATGACGGGGGGAAAGAGCCTGAGACCCGTGGGGCCATTCTAAAAGCCAACCACAGAGTCCCAAGGAAACACATTAGAAGGAGAAGAAAAGTATTTCACGAAGCAATGGCCAAAATGTCTGGCTCTGGCGACAGACAGATTCAGAGACAGCCAAGAAGTTTATGTGAGGAAAGAAGCCAACTGCTGCTGACCGGGGTGGGGGACACGACGACGACAACTCCAGCAAAGCATGTTACAGTGTTCGTAATCAGACTCCTCACAGAGGAGCAACACTTGCAAAATTCTGGGGAGTCAAGGTAGGGGAAGCACACACCACCAGCAATCATTTTAAAAGGAAGCAGTACGGTCAATGCAAATATCCTTCAGAAATGAAAAAAAAAATGGGGGGGGGGTGGCGGCACAATAGATTAAGCCGCAGCACTATGAAGCGCTCACAGGCAAAGACGCAGGACACGCCAACACAAGCACTTCCGCTGCCTCTGAATCACAAGGAGTGGCTGGAGGCCGGTAGAGCCCTCTTATACACGCGGGGGCATCCTGAAGCGTGGGGAAGCTGCAGTGAACAGCCCTGCTCGGTCCCAGCACCACGTGCAACGGCCCGAACATCTCTCTCCCCCGAGGATGCACAGGTCCAACCCCACCTGCCGTGTGCCCGTGTCAGCAGCCGGGGAGACCTCACTGAAGGTGGTGCGTGTTCTCTGGACGCCAGGGTGCCCTGGCTCCTTCCAGCAGGTGCAGCAAGGAGATGCCTGCTGTGAGCCAGGACTTACTTCCAGAGTTAGGGAAAAAGGAACTTTTGTTGCTCAAAACTAGCCGGTGATTCCTTTCAGCAGTACGAAAGGACAGGCCAGCACATACAGTGGGTGCAACTGGCTTCCAAAAAGCTGCGTCCAAACTCGAAGCCCTCTACCTGCAAGAGCGACGCTACTTGCAGAGGTAATGAAGGATCTCGAGATGACCGCTCACTCCGGATTAATGGGGAGATCCTAAGTCCAGTGACACCGGTACTTAGAAAAAGAGGGGAGAAAGTGCAGGGAGATGAAGGCAGAGGGGGGGGCTCTGCTGCCCCCCCGCCACGGGAAGCTGAGACTTGTCGGCCATCACTGGAGGCCAGGAGATGGGACAGGTTCTCTCAGGCATCCAGGAGGAAGCCCCCGCCCCCTCTTCCAGGCTCCAGCATCACGGGAGATACAGGCCTGTGGCTTATGCCAGCCAGTTTGTGGTCCCTTGTTACAGGGCCCCAGGAAGCTAACTCCGCATGGCTGAGGGACACACGGCCTGCAAAAGCACAGTCCAACTTCGAATCCCTGCAGCACACCGAGCACCCAACACGGGGTATACTGCTAGTCGCGCCCAGGCCTGGTCACTCCTGGCTAGCGAAGGTGGCACAGCTGGCGGCCAGTCACATCACTTTCATGGTAACTAGTGGGGTCACTGGGCAGCGCTGTCCAGCCAACAGACACCACAAAACACACAGCTCTGCCCCTGCCGTTTCCTGGTGATGAGCCCCTGGACACCTGATGAAAGTGGAAATGAAAGAGGGATGCAGCCAAGGGAGGGAGACGCACAGCAGAGCTGGAAAGTGGGAACATGCGAGAGAAATGCGCCCCCTCAGGCCCTGTGCGGGTGGCCCGCGGACCCCTGCCGGCTCACCCATCCAGTCCAGTCCTGCCTCGAGTCAACTCACCTGGGTTATGCAACGGCCTGGCGGCAGCCCTATTCCACGTCTGCCCCCCCCCAACACCTCGCCCTTTCTCCACTTAGACGGGGTCACGTCTCGATGAACCCACTGTGAACTACAAACGGACTAGAGCCAGAGCTTGGCCTGGCTTCCCAGAGCAGCCCCACTGGCCTGCGCGGGGGTCCGTCACCGACACAATCACTCCTCTGCAACGCAGCACTGATGAGCGTGTGGGGCACTGCAAAGCACCGCAGTGCGGCGACCCCTCTCGCCCCCCGAGCTGTGCAACACCAACTGCCACTGCCCACTTGGCGAGCCCGTATGTCCCAGCCTGGGAGAGACCGACAAGAGCAGTTTCTACTGCATGAGCTAAACTTCCAAACCACTGCAAAATAAATTTTCAGGTCAAGCCATCTCAAGTTCGTAATCCCCACGGGTCGGCCGGCGACCCTCTCTGATCAGATCCAGTCACGGCCCTCAAGACCCAGCTCACCCCATCCCATCCGAAGCAAGCAGTGGACTCTGCCCCGTGACCACAGAGCTGGCCCCTCCCCGCCTCCTCCACACTGCTCCCTCCGAGCTGCTATACCCTGAACAAGGCAGACTCGCTTTGGCCTCAGACTTGCAGTAACATTCCTTCCATCTAGAATGTTCTCCCTCTCACATGGACATGGCTGGCTCACCTCCTTCAGGTCCTGGCTCAAATGTCACTTCATAGGAGCATTCTCTGGTCTCCAATACTAAAACTGCGACTCCTCACCCCCCTTTAATTTCTCGATTGCATTCCCAGGCTTATTTTCCACTTTATCTCTGATGACAATCTAACAAGTATTTTCCTTATTTATCTCTTTTTATTCTGATTAACTTCTTCCACTACTATATCAGCTCCATGAGGGCTGTGATTTGTCGGATGTGTTTAGTGTGTATCCCAGCAACGAGTAAGGATCTATCAGATTGCTCTTCCATTGACCTTTGTTGATGAAGTGAATAATCACAAGTCGACCTTAATACCAGAAACAGGATTTCCAGGAGCTATTTCTCAGTTTAGAAATTAAACAAGTCCACCTCACCATGGAAGGATAAAGGCCTTGCTCATCTCTGCATCCCCAAAGCCCAGCCAGGAGTGCCTCATCCCCAAAGCCTGAGAACAGGAAGAGACTGAGTGACTCAGGCCCCCAGGGCCCCAATTCCTGGGAGGGAGGGGAGACCCTGCAGTGGCGGTGACAGAGGTGAGGCGGCAGACACCGGGAATACACTTGAAATCAAAGCACTTACCCCATGCCTTGTTTGAAAGCTTCAATCAACTCATTCTTTTTATTCTGGTCTTCTACCCAATACACACTTGGAATGACAAACTCAGATATCACACGGCATTCTGGACAAGACCTGCAGTAAGTTAGTAAGGAGACATTAAGTCACAAACCTGTGTGCTCAGGATTCTAAACCTTGGCAAATGTACAGCCACTCCAGGGGTTGACAAACCCCAAATCCTACAAGGTGAATCAACCAGCTAAGAACTTAACAATGGTCTCAAGAACAAAAAGGCAACCCAATTTTCAAACCAGCCAAGACTTTGAGTGGGCGCTTCCCCAAAATGGCCACTATGCAGACTGCAGAGAAAATTCCTTTCTGCAGAGATGACAATGTTCTGACGTTAGACCGTAGCATGGCCCACGACTGAATAAGCTCGGGCCACCGGATATTCACGCTTCTATCAGAAAGGAGGCTCTTGCACCACAGATGTGTGCTGCACGTATTAAGTTACCGGACCTCCCCACACCTGCTTCCTTCTTGTGAGGGATTCTCACATCGCTGAGTACGGGAGTGGTGTGACGTCTCTAGCAGCACACAGCCACTTCTCAGTGTGATTCAGCTCTCCCCGCCCCACCACAGAATTTAAGACTCCCAAGCTGCCTGTGCGCCACCCAATCTCAGCAACATGGGGAATGAACTGTGTCGGCCAGCCCATGAGATGTGGTACATGGATTATTCCTTCAGGCCTCTTAACTCATTTTACAGACAGGGAAAAAAACTTAAAAAGGGCCAACCAACAGCTTTCGGGCAGTGCCTGTCACTGTTGGTGCTGGGGCCCCTCACGCCACCCTCAGCACCTCTCTCAGATCATCCCTGCTCAGTGTGTCCCCAAGACCCTGAATGCTATGTGATGTGCTCACGCAGCAGGGGGTCAAGACTCATCGGCTATCTTTGCACTAAAACGCCTCTGGCAGACCAGGGAGGCTTCTGCTGCAGGGGTGGAGAAGGCCCCAGAAGTCAGCCCTACCACGCAGCCCCCAGCGCAGACCCGCGCTGCACTCACTTAATGATCGGGTTCTCAAACTGCTTGGCACAGCGCCACTGGCGGATGCAGGACAAGCAGTACGTGTGGTTGCAGTTGGAGAGAATCCCGAATCTCCGCTCGGAAGCAGACGCCTTCTCAAGGATCACTTCCATGCAGATGCTGCACACTTTGTCCTGACTGGCCTGGAAGGCGAAGGCCTTTTCCATCTCGTGTTCAAATGTTGACATGCACATCTGAGTAGAGGGAGCAGGACACTCTCTTAGGCTCTGGGCTGCTTGGCAGCGGGGAGGCCCAGGACCGGCGGCCCGGCACGGCCACAGCCCTACCAGGAGCAGCATGAACGATGGCTCTCTGGGCTGGGCCAGCCGTCCCTGGATTCACACACAAAGTTCTTCAGTCATAAACAGAACCTCAACCACCACGTCCACACCCTTGTTTTCTTAGCACGACAGTCACCTCCAATTCAGAGCTGAGACCCTGGTCTCCTGGCGCCGCTGGGCACTGCCCTGTCCCCGCTCAGCACCGCAAATGCTGAGCAGCATTAACCTGAAACGTCAGGCCAGAGTCAGAGGGGAGAAACGAGTTATTTGATGGATTCACTCACCAAGGGAGCAGGCTCCGAGCAGCACCCACACGCAGCTGCCTACCAGGCCCCTGAGCCTGGGGCGCACAGTGGAAACCGGGTGTGAGACAAAGCAGCACACCAAAGATAAAGCCCACCCAGGCCTGGGCACGGGATGCTCTGACTCTGCGCTCACCGAACACCTCTTTCCCACAGCCGTCAGGACAGAGCACGATGCTGCCCAGCCTCCCAGCCCTCCCCATCAGCGCAGTCCTGAGCCAAGCAGTGTCCAGCGTGAGGCTGGGCCTCCACCCACACTCGGGACCGAACGACCTGGAGGGTTCCTTCGAACACCCACTCCTCAGATTCTCTGATTTGGGTTCCTCAGATTCTGGCCTTCAGAGATCACCGCACACAGGCCTAAGGTGGGAGGACGCATGAGACAAAAGCACCCCTCCCCACGCTGCTGAGCCGCATCTGTTGTCTGAACTCTGCGCTGTTTTATGTTTCCATGCCTCTTCTTTATCCTAAATAAACTAAAACTCCCGAGATGCCATCAGGAGAAATGACCTGACAATAAGGTATGAACGGGCCAGCGCGCCACGCAGGCGCTACGGCAGAAACAGCAGCTGCCTTGCTCGCTGCGCTTCGCACTTCTTAGAACAAGATTAAGCAAAGTCGTGCAACTTTACCTTCTCATGTGCCTTCCTTTGCTCGGGGTCGAAGGGGTGCAGGACCTGTAGCCTACAGATCTCACACACGTCGCCGTGCAGGTAGACGCAGGCCTCCCCGAACCGGCACTCCCCAGCCGCCGCGTAGGGGCACAGCTGCTGCTGGCCGCCGCACGAGCTGCCGGCTTCCACGTCGTCCAGGCCGCTCCTGATGGCGTCCAGGTAGGAGTGCGGCCTCCCCTCTGGGCTGCTCTGGGGGTTGCTGCAGCCTCCAGGGTTGCTCACTGCGCTCGGACATGTCTTCTCCTCAGCCAGGCCAGAGAGATCTACCGTGCACACAGCACCCAGACAAGTGAGAACCCGCCCAGGCTCTGGCGAGCACCGCGCCAGTGTCCAACCAAACAATCCATCCTGACCACGGGAACTTCACTCTTGAGAACATACAGGGGGGAAAAGTAGGCCAAAAGGAAAAAATAAAAAGAAACAGCATAAAATGTTCACAGTGATGGTATTTTTAACACCAAAAAGCCCAAGTGGCAATACAAGGAAACAGCAAAGCAGATCGTGTTGTATTTACACAAAACAGGAAAGCTGCTGTTTAAGATGACCCAGGGAGAGGTCAACATCCGTGCTGCGTCTCCTTCCTTCTCCCCAAGCAGGGAGGTACACACTAACTTCAGCAAGCCATTCAAGGGTGCAAATGAAAACACCGAACACTGCTTCAGCATACAGACGAAGACTAAGAACTGATCGAAAAGTCAGACAGAGAAACATGCTCTTCATCCAAATATGCAGCTTTAAAACGAGTAACTGGGGACCTCCCTGGTGGCGCAGGGGTTAAAGTCTCAGCCCAATCAAGCTACTGCCAGCCACTGTGGCCTGAGTTCGATCTCTGCCCAGGGAATGACCCACAGGGCGCAGCTGACCTCTCCTGCCTCGCCCGCGGCTCCCCAAAGTAGTGTATTGTTTTGGCCCCCACTCTGTCTCTGGTGAATCATTCCCTCCCCCGCACCTCTGCCCTGCCCAAAGTTCTGCTATGCATAAATAAAAATAAATCTTGAAAATATTGAATAAAATGAGTAGCTTGGGGTTTCCCAAACCCGGGCAGCGAGTAGTCACAGGCTGACCAAGTGCCACCGGAGATTGCCAGGCCAAACAGGGGGCCCTGCCCAGCTCTGGGCATGAGAACGGAGCGCCCGACACCAAGGCCCCATGAAGCCGGCCCCAGGACAGCTCTTGTCTCTCCAGTTGGACAGGACGGAGCAACAGGAGCCTCCTGACAAGAGGCCACAAAGGAGCACGAAGACCCGCAAGTCAGCGAGACAAAAAGGCGAGAAGAGAAGGGTTCTGTCCACTCACTTCGATCTCTAAGCACCAGGGTTCTCTTTTCGCGTTTCCCAGGCTCGTGTAAATTTGTTTTCACAATAGTTGCAGTGAGGTCAGAAGGAGGGTGAGGACTGTGGAAGCCAGGGGAGGGCACAGCGTGGGGCACCGTGCCCACAGCACTGCCCGCCGCAGCAGACGGCCTCGTGTGATCGTACCTAAACAGAACACACAGCAGACGCCTTACGGTCGCGCCCGCCAGGCATGCAAAGCCCCCTCTCCTGCTCCGCTCGCGCCGGGGGAGAACGAGCAAACCTCTTCCCAGTTTAAGCAATTAAGCAGTAACAGGCAGTAACAGGCTGCTCTGTGAGTAAGCGGCACTTCCGAGTAAGGGTACCGCCGTCCATCGCCTACATCTGGTGACCTTGTAGAACAGACATTCTCCCCTGGGACACACAGACAGCCCGGAAGCTCCAGAGGCTGCGGAGACCCTCTGGCATCCAAGTCGGGAGTCTGGACAGCAGCTCCCCCAAGGCTGACGACGGCGACTGTGACAGCCGGACACCAGCCTCCCCGGACTGTGTCTGCAGGGTACTCAGGAGCAGTGGGGAGGGCAGGGCGGGCTACTTTCACCACCCCCAGGCAGCAGAGGAAGAGGAGGAGGGAGCTGTGCAGCCTAGGGGAGCACAGAGCAGCCCCTCATCCCAAAAGCACAAGAACAGGTTGTCGGTGTGTTTTCTTGTCTAGCAACTGCAAGGCCTGCCGAGGGGATCAGCTCATGTACAAAAATGCTGACCAGAGTACTCACAGCAAAAATACTGGAAGCCACATGTCTGTCTAGCAGAGGGACAGATAATAATGTGATAACATGCTGACATTATAAAACAAAAAAATATTGTTAGCACCGACAAGGTAGCAACAGAAGAAAAAGCTTGACATGCTGGTGGGAAAAGATAAAATTTTATGTATACCGTGGAGTGCAATCTTATAACTACAGTCCGGTAAGAATAAGACCTGAAGAGTGATTTTGAGAACTTTTTAGAGTACTGAAATTGAAGTTTTAAAATTATCCCCTCATCAAAACACACACTTGAAATAAAGGGTCAGAACCCCTGATGGTGTCACTCCGTCTCACAGCTGGGGAAGAGTTGTGGGGTTCTTGCCTGCAACGAGTTCCATAGGCGCAATAGCCCTTCTGATAGTATTTGCAGATGGTGGAAGGCTTGCTGTTTGCCAGGTCATGTGAGAACAGGCATTGGTTTCCTTCCCGACACACACCATGCATGAAATACCTGGAGACAAGCAGACACAGAACTCTGAGAAACACACTTCACAAGTCACCACATTCCTGAACGCAGCAGAGACACGGATCGTGTGCATGTGAAGTATCAGGCTCTACTAGCCACCGCAGAAACAGGTGCACCACAACTTAATTCAAAGGCAGTTTTTTGGGGGGAAGAAAAATGACACCATGATTTTCTACTTTAGGGTATATCCTCTTGATTTGTGTTACACACGTAAAATATGAGCCTCCGACTGAGAAAACACTCAGAAACCACCCTCTGTCCTTCGGAGTTAAGGGGTAAGTTTGTGGTCCACTGGGTCAGGATCCAGCTGTCTGCTGAGCAAGGCACACAGCCAACTCCCCGGGGCCTTACTCACTTTAATACACTTTACTATATAAAGTAAAAGTTACCCTACCTACTACTTCCTGGGGTTGTGGTGAGGATCAAAAAGTTAGTGTAGCATGAAAAGACATGGGTATATATGTACACATATCTCTCTAAGTGAAAAAAATGTACACTAAGATGTTGAATTTTGCCCCTGGAGGTATTTTAGTTCTGTCTAGTTAAAGATAGTGGGCTGAACATCCAAGAGCAAACCAAAGAGTGACCAAAGAGTGACCCCAGAAGGGCATTCCTTGATATTAAGGGTACTTAAGCTCTAAAGTAAAGAGCTTTTAGAGCCACCCTAATAAGGCTTAAAAACAAACATCTAAAAGGACCAAGCTGATAACAAATAATTTACCAGTTGACAGGAGCTGTAACACTCTTTGAAGGGAGACCAACAAAACCCAAATACTCAGGGGCCTCCCTGGTGGCGCAATGGGCTATGTCTCAACACTACCAAGCTATCACAGCCACTGCAGCATGAGTTCGATCCCTGACCAGGGACTGACCCACATGGTGTAGCAGGCCTCTCCTGCCCCACCACCAGCTGTTCCACTCGGCAGTGTACTTCAGAAAATGCATATGGGAAAGCTGAGGCTCAGAGAAGTGCAATGACTTAAAGAAGATCTACTGCCAGGGAGGGGATCCCCGTCTCTGGTCTTCCCAGAGAGCCCTGAACTCTTCCCAACAAAACTGATTTCTTTCTCACCCTGCTCCACAAGAACTGGAGTTCTGAGAGGCCAGACTGCCCCCTCCAGAGAAAGGGGACTAGAAAACTCAGGCGACCAATCATGCAGCACATCAACCCACACGATGGGCCAGAGAGCTGCCTCAACCGGAGGCCACAAGTCTGAAGAACTTCTGTCTCCTTGCTCACCAAGCATACTTTCTTCATCTGTTCACTGCTCCAAAACCAGAGGAAGCCCTGGCCAGCCACCTGACAGTTTCTTTCTCCCAGGGAATTTTCTCCCCAGCCCCCTGCCATGATGCCACCTTTAAGTATATAAACAAAATCAAATTTCTGAGCCCACAAATGTTGAGAACTGGATTGTGTGACTGCAGTTACTGTCCTGAGATGCAATTATAAAGGGTCTTTTCTGGGTGGTCAATAGGCTTTCCACCGGCCAACAGCCCTTGGGGCTGCTGTATTGGAGACCATACAACTGTCTGCCACAAGTTTGTCTAGAACAGAACAGAACCTTAAGCATACTCTCTGTCAGAAACCTAAAAAGAACTTAGAAAATCCTTATCATGGGTATGGTGTTATTCACAATATTGATTAAAATTGTGCAGAAAGGGCACTGCTGGTGGGACTGCAAATTAGTACAACCACTAAGGAAAACTGTTTGGAGGTTCCTCAAACTGCTAACATGGAGCTTCCATATAACACCACAATCCCACTCCTAGGGATCTACCCAAAAGACACAAAAACACTCGTTCAAAAAGACAATCTGCTGCTTTATTTACAATAGGAAAAACATGGAATCAACCCAAATGCCCAAAAGATGATGACTGGATTAAAAAGACGCGGTACATATACACAACGGAACATTATTCAGCAATCAAAAAGATAAACACATGCCCCTTTACAGCATATGGATGGAGCTAGAAGCTATCATACTTAGTGAAATAAGCCAGAAAAAGAAAAATACCAGATGGTTTCACTCATAGCAGGAACATTAAGAATGGGGGTGGGGGGAGGAATATTAATGAACTATATTCCAGAGACATTTAATGGGGGTGGAGTGGAGAATGGGGTCAAAGGTGGGGGGGAGTGCACAGGACTATGGTGATGGCACACAGGTGAACTGGAAATGGTAAGTCCATGGGGATTACAACTGAGACACAAAAAGGCACAAAATGATATTTTAAAAAAAGTGCAGAAAGGAGTTAACACCATGGATCTGAGCCTGCTGACCTAACAAAGATGGTTTACGAGGCTGCAGCTTGCCTAGCATCTGGGATTAAGCAGCTGCCCGCCTTAATATAAGATGTCCCCGAAGCGGCTCCCTGGGCCTCCCTGGTGGTGTTTTAGCAGCACTATCAGCAGCCACTGCAGCCTGAGTTCGATCCCCAGCCAGGGAGGCGACACACATGGCACAGCATATCTCTCCTATCTCACCTACTTCAGCATATCTGCTTGTTCTGCTCCCCACAGTCTCTGGTGAACCCTCTCACCTCCCCACACGTCTGGTATGCACCCCAGTTCCTGTATGAATAAATAAATCTTAAAAAAAAAAAAGTGGCTCAAAGGGCCCATCTGTATATATATATAAGGTGGTTTATGTAGAACATCTGCTTTTTTTTGGTACATGCCAGTCAGAGGTGACCAGGCTGGACACTGAATTTCTAATGGGCTTCCTGGGCATACCATGCTGTGGGAAAGGGTGCTGTGGGACCCTTTATGGGAGGGAGGGACAAGAAGCCCGCACTGGGCTCCTCCAGAAGCTGCCCTGGCCCAGCTGAGACTCTTCACATCAACAATGTAAGTCTCAGCCTCGACACATCTGTATGCTGAGTTCTGTGGGTCCTTCTAGTCAACCTGTGGAAGGGTCGTGGAGAACTCAATACAAACACACAAGACACTTCTAAAAAGGTGGACAGTTTTCTGAGAAATGCTACTTCAGACTGCACCATTATTTCAATTGTCCTCAAATGTGGTCATCTCTGATCTTGCAAGGAATAAAAGTTCAAAAAAAGAGTGTCAAGAACCACATCTGAATAAAAAAAGATGAGAATTAGAAAACTCAAATATAAAAAGAACAGGTTCAAAGTTGCCATACAGTTCCATGAGTGAGATCTGACACTTCACCAGTAGTTTCTTTTGCAGGACTGAGCAGACTTCCTGAAAGAAGTGGGGTGCGCCCACCAGATGTGTGTGCCCAGATACTGCTTACCAACCAGTGCAGGCAGTGCTTCCACGGCAGCATTTTGTAACGCTACCACCACCTCCCACAGAAAACCTGCCTTCTAAAAGGCACTTACTTACTAATTATCTTTTCCATTAAACAAAACAAAGCAAAACACTTCACCACCAACAGGGCTCCTAGTTAGTTCTGACACTTACAGCTTCATCTAAGTGACCAAGCTAAGATCTGAACAGTCTCTAGACCACCATCACTGCCTCAAGAAAGGCAGCTGTGAAATAAGTGTTACCTAAGGGCTGCAAAGCCAGTCCAGTCTTATTTTTGTGGCATATGTCGCCATTTCCAATCCACAGTGACCAAGTCAACTTGAGCATATCTTGCTGTCCTTTAGGGCATCTCTGTCACCCCCCCCCCCCATCTCCACATCTATGTGCGTTAACCTGACTCAGCTTCTCATCGTCGTCTGGTAATGGATTCCCAACTGCTCACCATTCCTGGGGGCCAAACCACCCTTATGTCTTCCTAGAGAGAAGACAGAGACACAGGGATGGAGGTGGAGGGGCTGTGTGAGAGGAGTGCACAGCCGGAGACTCAGAGTCTTTCCGGGAGATACTCAAGAAATGTTATTCTGCATGACACCAAAAGACTTTCACAGTACAGCTATCACGTGCTGCGAAGGGTATCAAGTTCATTATTAGCCACAGAACCATTAGCTGTTCAGTTGAGGGCTGAGTCACACAGACTCAATCTGGGTTCTTGCAAGTTTTTCAATGGTGCCTGCCTCCAGCAAAATACCTCTGCAAATCACTTCCAAGAGTAGAGGTAATGAGCATTCTTAAGAGTGACTTTTTTTTAAATCAATTGAAATTAAAGCATATAAATTTCAGGTGTGCAGCATTAAAAAAATCAACATGTGAATATTCTACATTAAACTCACTACTAAAAGTCCACTAACAAATAAATTAAAGGGGGGATGAAATAAATACTAGTGGTTAAGTGAAGACTGAGAGTTTCTACGTGGCCTTGAGCAGTGTAGTTCTCCAAGCCTCAGTTTCCTCACTTGAATTAATTATAACTGTACTTCAGACAGCTCGGGACACCCTATAGGTTTAACTGAGACGCCAAGTGTGGGTGCCTGCAGACACCTGATAAATGCTCTAGATGGCATGCTATTGTTAGCTTACGTCTTAACAGATCCTGCATGACACTGCCACCATTTCACAGGTGAGAAAACTGAGGAACAGGTGGAAGCGGGGTCAGAGCAGCGCTGCCCAACTCAGTTCTAGCTCTTCCCATCACTTACTGACCAACAAGATCCCATGTTTCAGGACTCGCCACCAATCAAAAGAAACGTGGCTCTTTCACTAGTGATTCTGAAACAAAGGGATCTCTTTCACAGGAGGAGGAAGGAAAAGAAACAGGCCACTGAGCGGTTATAAGCCCCTACCAAGACTTTGAAAACCTGAAGACAAAGGGAGATGTTTAGAAGTGTTGTTAGCAAATCTTCCCGGTGGGTATTTTGGGGAGAGTAAGCCCCCAAGGAATCAGGCCAGCAGATGGAGCACAAAACCCTGAGCTGCCGTTCATCCATTCTCCACCAGACACACGGAGCTCTGGGAATCCTAGCATTTCATCTCCATCTCTGGGAGAGACAACGTGCATCAGAATGGAAACAAAACTAACACTTTATCCTACTGCTATTCAGAATAAGCGTGTCCACCGCATTCCACAATCAGGAAAACAAAACAAAACAAGAAACACTTCGCACCCTGAAGCAAAACCAGAAGCAGCCATGCACCCTCTTAAGGTCTGACCCATCATACTGTAAACATCCCATAAGTTACCAATGTCTGAGATAAAAATTCAGTGAACAAGATAATAAAGTGAGAAAAACTTTCCCACCCCAAACACGCTCTTGCAAGTCAGTATTCTTGATAATCTCGCACTCCTTGCCACTTCAATGTGCTCGGTTTTATTTACAAGGTTGTCCTTGCCAGGCCGGCCTCCTTCACCCCTTTTGCAAGTAAATTTCTTTTACTTTGTTTTCATGAGTTTTCCTTCCTATGAGCAATCAGAAAGTCTGGACATCTGTGCAGTAACCAAACTCTAATTTAGCACTTCCCAAACTCATTGGGGAGCACAGAGTCTGTAAGAGCAGATTCTGATGCCACACTTTTGCCACCTGGAAGCTGGAGATCCTGGGCAGTCACTTCAGTGCTGAAGCTTGGTGTCATGGAATGATGTGGGCTACAACAGTATGATACCCCATACAGCTGGTGGAGTGCCTCAGAGTACCCAGCACATTGTAAGCAATGACCCCCGCTCTTAACCCTAACACCCCCTCACCCCCCCAAACACCAGTACTTAAACAGGACCCATCTGCTGCCATTCCAATGCACACCAAGTTACACCCGGCATCCTGCATGACGCCTGTTTGGGAAACAGCTGAGCCTCGCAGGTCAGGACATCTCCCTGTGCAATGCCACCGGTGAGGTGGATTTAAGTTCTTGCCCATAGTGTGATGAAGTCTTTTCTGAGCATAAGCTCTCCCCGTTTGTAGGATTAGATACTAGATGCCGCTGGGATTCAGTTAGGAAGCACTCTATTCCGGGCCCTGTTTTGGTGATGCATCTGAGGGGTAGTAGCCAGATTTTGCAATACAATCCCCCCGTGACTGCTCCAGCAGGGGAAACTTCACACAAACAACACACACAAGCCCCCCTTCATGAAAGACATACTGCAACCCAGTACATTTCTTTTCTACAGACACTAAGTGAAATTTTCTGACAACTACAGGTCACCTGGCCCCTGGATAAATTGGCTGAACAGCTAATAGAGATTAACAGAATGATTTACGCAATTAAATCTCAGTTACGGGAAGCACCCAGGTGATACTTAAACACTGCTTAGCACCTAGTCAAACGCCACAACATTTTCTTATTTTGGGGGCAATGTTTCCCGCACAGTTTCTACTAAATCAATTATAATGTGTACGTTCCTTATGTGCTCACTGACGCCAGGGGCCACTCTGGGAAACCGCACCCAGAACCAAGGCCTGGGGGAGGGGGAGAGCTGGTTCTCTTTCAGAGCAGCACTCCGAGGAGCCACCCGGTTTTGAATGTTTTGATCCCGCGCTCTCCTTAACCTCTTTGCGTTGCAGGCGCCGGCAACCGAGCCCCGGGAGACCCCGCCAGGCAGCGCCATCGCGGAGTCCGGTGACAGCGAATTGCAGGGCCTGGAAAAGGCGCGGCGCACCTGACGAGCCTCGGTAAGTGCCACCTGCCGCGAGTAACTCCCGCGGCGCCTCCGCGCGTTTAGGCGACCCCCGCACCTTCCGCCCTGGGGAAACGAGGCCGCTCTCAGGGTCTGCGGCGGCTTCTCCGAGGCCCTCTCACCGCTAACGCGACTCCCGCCGGCGGCCTGGTCCGCAAACCCGCTCAACCCCAAACTCCACGCCCAGCCGAGCCGCCGGCTCCGGGGCCCTCGCCCG